AATGAAATAGATCCCTAAGTAGTATGCATTATTACTAAACATGAAATAATTAACATAATTATTAATAAGTTTGAGAACAAAATAAACTTTATGCAATTTATTAAGTAGCATTACATATTTTACTTATAATATTGGGTTGGGAACTAAGTAATTGCGGATTTCACTCATAGATGGCTTCAGTTGAATTTTTAGGGTTGCAGACATAGTACAAATGTAAAACACATTTTGTTATTTGATAGTCGGCAATTCAGCTGTCAATCAGTAAAAAAAGTTTTTTGATCGGTTGTGTAGTTTTCGTTTGGCGTTCATTGAAAAATGGAAAATCAAAAGGAACATTTTCGTCATATTTTTCTTTTTTATTTCCGCAAAGGGAAAAACGCATCACAAGCTCATAAAAAGTTGTATGATTAAGACACAATAACACGCCGAATAAATACTAATTCAGAAGTCAAACAACAAAAATCAGCGTTAATTTACAAAATTTTCACAGGACTAGTTTCAATGGTTTTACCGAACCATCATCTTCAGCTGCAAAACCACAAATGAACAAGATAGGAAATAAATTATTTCCTATCTTGTTCATTTGCGGTTCGATACATGGATTCCTCACGAACTGAAAGAAACGCATTTAACGCAGTGCATTAACAGCTGAATTTGCTAAACAAACTTATTGAAAATGATCCATTTTTAAAACGACTGCTAACTGGCGATGAAAAATGGGTTGTTTACAACAATATCAAGCGGAAAAGATCGTGGAGCAGGCCAGGTGAACCAACTCAAACAACATCAAAAGCTGATATTCATCAAAAGAAGGTTTTGTTATTAGTTTGGTGGGATTACAAAGGAATTGTCTTTGGTGGGATTACAAAGGAACTCTTACCACCCAACCGAACGATCAATTCTGATGTCTACATTGACAACTAATGAAATTAAACAATGCAGTTGAAGAAAAGTGGCCCGAATTGATAAATTGAAAAGGTGTATTCCATCATGACAATGCAAGGCCACACACATCTTTGGTCACTCAACAAAATTTATTGGAGCTTGGTTGGGATGTTTTGCCACATCCACCATATGGTTCTGACTTTTGTTTCGATCTTTACAAAACTCCTCGAATGGTAAAAATTTCAATAATGATGATGATGTCAAATCGTACCTGATTCAGTTTTTTGCTAATAAAAACCAGGAAGTTTTATGAACATGGGATTATGCAATGCTACTACCTGAAAGATGGCAAAAGGTCATTGAACAAAATGGGCAATACATCACAGAATAAAGTTATTTAGTTCCATGAAAAAATTTGTCTTTGATTTTCTAAAAAAAATCCACAATTACTTAGTTGCCAACCCAATAGTTGGACACTTATAATAGCTGGACACATTTGAAAGAAGATAAGTGACATTTACGTTTTACTAACAGCTTTATGTTTTTTTTTTTTTTTTTTTTTTTTTTTGGGTTATTTTTTTGTCACATACTGGTCGGTCAGTCTGGAGGTTTAGTAAATAGCAGGTAGATTTTATGTCAAACAGCATAGGTTAAAATGAGAAGTAAGATCATAATCAGCATGATTCATAACAAAAGACTGAATGTTGTCACCACTGCTGCTTGTTTAGAGAGAGAGAGACCTGCTGATTAGAACAACCTGAAAGGCCTGATGCAGGCACGGTTGGCAAGTGTTGAAAGTTAGTCAGGCTCTGTTTGATGCAGTTAGTGTCGTAGCTTCAAGTAGAGTTCCAGGGATTGTAACCCAGTTGATATACTTTACGGTTCCAATAAGCCATTAAAGCACCAGAGGTGATAAACTGTTTTGTATTATTTTGTCTCACTAGATGCAAAGAATATGTTTTACTTGAACTTTTACATTTTTGTATTTTATCTTGTGACACCAGTTAGTATTAATGAAAGGCAATAACTTGCTTTAATATGCAGAGATAATTTTTAAGGGTAAGCAGTTAGTTGTAAATAATTAGGCAGTTTGATAACCTTAGTCATTATGGATTTACATGACCACTATTAAATTTTATTTCTTAACAATATTTGTTAAAAAAGCCCTATTAAAATCAAAATCTAATAAAATTTTACAGTTTAAAATACATGTAATTTATGACACAGGTTCTTAAACGATATTACGATAATTACACATTAAAAGCTACAAATCATTTATGTTTTGTAACAACAAAACTCAAAAAAATATTTATCTGTCATTTTAACTTGAAGCCTTCCCAAACATTTTGGCTACTTTTTATCGATCAACTTCTCTTTAAGGATCTTTTCTAACAATTAAAGATTTGTCTCAATATGCACACCAATGCTCTTGCTGGTTTCTGCGTGCTTTATGTCCTAACTTGTGTACCTCTCCAGAATGTACCTATGAGGGTTTACTTGATCTGGTAAAAGTTAAGTAGTCCAACCAAAAAATATTAATGTTATTTTTTAAATATAATTTCAATATATTACCATTATTTTAATAAAATTTATCAATGTTACGATGTTTTAAAAAAAATCTTCGAAAAATTCTCAGATCTAGGAATTAAAAATTTTCTATAGAAACTGATCTTAAAATCCCCAAAATGTTGATAAGTCGCCAAATTTAGAACCCTTTAATAAAAGAATTCACATTCCCAAAGCAAAAAGTTGTTTAAGAGCTCTTTATTAGAAAAAATGAATTTCAAAATGCTTATGTTTCACTTCTTGCTTAGAAACTCGAGTATCCCATCATTTATATTTGAAATAGGAACAGATTATAAACCATGAACCCATTCAAAAGATAACCATATATGTCAGCGAATCGCCAAAAATATTCCTTCAAAATGCTAATTCACACTCAAAATGGCAGTCATAGAAACAGACAGAAATTTCAGATGATTAAAATTAAGGACCTTCTGCCGATTTTGACCAAATTTAAGAACTTTTAAGGACCAAAAATTGATTCCAAAAAATCTAAGGGCTTTAAAGGACTCTTAAGGATTGTACGAAACCTGTACCTATACTCCTCCCCCCCCCAATGTGAATTCTTAAACATCATTAACTTGTATAATATAAGATAGGTCTAACAGGCTCTTGCTGGAGAAATTCATTCTAAAAAGGCTCAGTGCACAAAGAATTGAGAACTGCTGCTTTATATAGTTAATTTTCACAGAACTGGGCCGTTTTGCATGCCAACACAGCATCACTGAGTTTGAGACAAATACAGTAAAAGTCCAGAAATCCGCAAAGCTTGGGACCAGAGGTTGTGCGGATTTTAGGACAGAAAAGATAAATCATAATATTCAAAAGTCCAGAAATCCGCAAAGCTTGGGACCAGAGGTTGTGCGGATTTTAGGACAGAAAAGATAAATCATAATATTCAGACTCAAAGTGCAAAATAAATAAGGCGTATTAGATACATTTAATTAAATTATTATATACATTATTGTAATAATTTTTATATGCATTAAATCTTTATTACATATATACATTATTACATTATTCATTGTATTATATGTACACAGCATCCAGGTTTGCTGATTTCGCCTCATGTAAAGATTTCCGGTTTCGGATTTCGGTGTTAGAATCACTGTTGCTGTAAAATTTCAACAGCTTTTCTTTATTTTCCCGTATATCATACACAATCGTGTCACAATTCCATACCATTCTGCTATAAACTGAGGAGTGGAACCTGCTTCCATCTTTTGCAGAATTTGCACTTTATGCATTACCCTCAATGCAACGTGTTTACGTTTTTCAACATTGCAAACAGTAAAATCATGAGTGCATTTCTTTCTGTCATTGCATTAAAAAGGGCTGAAATTTAAAATATTCTTAATTTATTCACAAAATATCCAGATTGAAAAAAAAGGCAGCATTAAATAATCATATGAAATAACAAAGCTCAGAAAATACAACAACGTGAATCGTGAACTAGAAAGAAGAGTTGAGTGAATCATCTGCTTTTTTACCTCGATGCAGATTAGAGGGAAAAAACTTTTATCATGATGTCAATAATTTGGTATTTCCGTTATGACTCATTATTATTCGGTAAGTATTTTTTCTTCGATATTTCATACTCAATAAGAACCTATAAACTGAATGTTTATATTTTGAGAGGCAACGTGGATTTCAGGAGTTGGCGGATTTTCGGTATTTGACTGTACTGATGAATACCCTATGATGGGCCCTGGCTTTCTTTACTATTTCTCTCCAGGGTGTTATACTCTTGGTCTTAGTCTTCCAATTAATGGTGTTTACAAGTCTCTCTCCATACAGTCTAGCTATCCGAGTTTCGATCTCCCTCTCTTTTGACTGTAATGGAATGTACATGAATATTTTTATTATAGTTCTATATTTGGACATTTTGTTTAAATGACTAGCTCTTCTTAATCTTCAGGTAAATGACATTTTTCATAAATGACAAAACATATGATGACGGTATATTTTTATGCCCTACAGATGTAGAATTCAATTTGGCGAATCTAATTCGACACCAACATTACACAATTTTCACTTAGACTTCTAGATTTAGCTAACTTACTGAAACTAACTTATGTATTTAGCTTCAACTGAATTGCTTACAGAGTTATTTTTTAGCACACTGTCCTGATTGATAAATGCAGCATCCAGATGATAGTATTAATTACTTTGTAATGTTTGCACCTCTTGCAATTCATGAAATTTCAAGAGAAATTTATAAATAACCTTTCACAACAAGTTTTAGAATAACAACCAAATATGTACGTTGAAATAAAATCAAACTTTTTTCTTTAAGAAATTAATACCGTATTTGACGGCATATAAGACGCACTTTTTTTCCTAAATTTGGTCTCAAAAAAGATACCTGCGTCTTATATGTGAAGGTAATTGCATTCAATAATTGTTTATTGGCTTTTATGAAACGTGAGAACTAAAAGAAACCTCGCTATTGAAACTTTTTCCCTTGTGTGTGGCCGTCTAAATAAGGGTGCGTCTTATATGCCGTCAAATATGGTAATTAAAAATTATTAAACTAAGACCTTTTTTTTTACCTTCAAATTTAACAAGGCATTAAGATCATGGTGAATAACATGCCGATCTTCCATTTTCCTTCGTTTATTTTTTATAGCAAATACAGAAGCTGAATATGTTGCTGATGATAAGGATTCATAATTTTCTTTCATGACAATTTCTTCCAGGAAAGAATGACAGACAGACGGTAACTTGTTAATTGCTTCAGTATATAGTGTGACAGTATTCAAATCTAAATCGTAAAATAAAAATTATATTTTCATATTTATCATTCACTTATATAATATCCACTATATAATAAAATAAAATATCCTCATACCAATTTTTATTAATTTACAAAGAGGAGAAAATATAGCTATCTTAATTCACATTCAAACTGACAAGATCATATTTTCCACCAAACTGTTCCATAAATGGTAACTAACAAATTTTAATTAATACACTATCATAAATTGATTAACAATGACATATTTTAAACATGACCTACATGCCAATGAAATCCATGCATAATAAAATAATTTAAATTTAAAAGTTGCATACCACTTAAACTATATATTTCAAAATAAACTTAATATGCAGAATTTTTTTCACTTTGTGTGAGATAGAAGTTAATGCTGCAAAATTTAAATTAAAGCTATCAATTTTCATAAATTTAGTGAAAATTTTATGTTTGGAAGAAGCATGTAAAAACATATGCTTTCTAATCATTCTGAACACTAACCACATTATCAATACAGTACAATTCCAGAAATCTGCAAAGCTTCGGACCAGAGGTTGTGTGGATTTCAGGACAGAAAAGATAATGCATAAAATTAGGACTAAAAATGCAAAATGAATAAGGCATATTAGATAAATTTAATTAAATTATTATATACATTATTGCAATAATTTATATATGCATTAATTATTATTACATATATAAATTGATTATATTTTCATTGTATTATATGTACACAGCATCGAGGTTTGCCGATTTCGCCTCATGCAAAGATTTCCAGTTTCGGATTCCGGTGTTAGAATCACTGTTGCTGTAAAATTTCAACAGCAATCGTGTCACAATTCCATACCATTGTACTATAAATTGAGGAGGAGCACCTGCTTCCATCTTTTGCAGGAACTGCACTTTTTATGTTACCGTCAATGCAACGTATTTACGTTTTTCAAAGTTGTAAGCAGTAAAATCACGAGTGCGTTTCTTATCTGTTATTGTATTAATAAGGGCTGAAATTTAAAATATTCTTAATTTATCCACAAAATAGCCTGATAAAAAAGGCAGCACTAAACAATCTCGTGAAATGAAATAATAAAGCTCAGAAAATACAACAACGTGAATCGTGAACTTGAATAAAGAGTGAATCGTCTGCTTTTTTACCTTGATGCAGATTAGAGGGAAAACAAACTTATCTTATTTATCTTATTTTTTTAACTTTTTTATATTAATAATTTAGTATTTACGTTTTGACTCATTATTATTCGGTAAAAATTTTTTCTTTGATATTTCGTACTCAATATTGCGGTTTCCGGAACCTATAAACTGAATGTTCATATTCTGAGAGGCGATGCGGATTTCAAGAGTTGGCGGATTTTCAGTATTTGACTATACTACTTATAAATCACATCTAAAGTCACACTAAATTAAAGTCTAACACATGGTCCTCAATTAAAGAGGAATCACCCCGAAGGCAAACTTCATAGTGTCAGGTAAGGATGTGGCCAGCCTCTTAGTTAGCTGTTTAGTATTTACCTTTAATTCATGAATATAAAAAGCTACTTTTATTCAAGATTTGGTACTTATCATCATTTCCTATATTTTTTTGCTTTTTAATTTAAAAAGGTATCGAAAGACAACTTAAATCTAAATAAATGGGCAGGCAGTTTTCGAGGTTTCGAAAGTAGAGAGGAAGGGATGATCTTCAAGCAATGATGAAAGAGGTGCTTAGGACAAGACAGGTTGGAACCATCAGTCTCCCAAAATATATATATATTTTTACCACGTTTTCCTACTTGATGTTTCTTAACCACACTGTAGCTATTTTCATTTTTGACTACCACTGGATAGAGCAACAATTTTTTTTCAAAACATACTCAGATATTATTGCCAATTCTCCACCCCCCCCCAAAAAGGAAATTCTAAAAATCCTTAGAACATCTACAAACTACAGGAACAATGGTAGCTCACGTTGGTAGCATTGAAACTATCGTAAACAAGGCATCACTGCCGCAGAAAGAATCCAGTTCTTGCTTGTTACGGCTTCTGTATGCAACTCTAATTGTTAATACATATAGTTATTTAAAATTTTACATTCAGCTTAATACTGCTGAATCTCACTGTTTAACAAGTTAAAAAATAAAAAAGTTATTTTAATAACATGTATGATTTAAATTTAATAATTGTTTATTATGAATTACAGATCTGCAATAAGTCTTTAATCCGGACTTGTCGGGACTTCGGCAATTCCGGATTATAGGTCATCAGTTTAAATCTGGTAAGATGGCATGCAGAAATTATAAAATTAAAATATGAAACCGTAATTTATGATATAAAGAGCAATTATGATCTAAAGGGTATCAAAATTTACAAAAAAAGAGCTTTATATTTATTTGTTTATTTTATTAAACATTTCTTTCCACACGCGCATGCGTAAAGCTCATTACACATAGTCGAAATTAAAAATTGCAACCAAACTATTTGATGTGATCGTGATATTTATAATGACGAGGAATTGATTAAATCATATCAAGATCAATCATATAATCGAGATGAGATACTAAGGAATTATAAGCCGATAAAATAAAAACATCTGCCTTTAAATAAGGATACAGCTGACAGATAACTTCCAGTTCTTGCGAGCCGCGACGTCCCCCCCCCCACCCCCGCAGAGGCGTGAATTGATAACAGATTTTGAATGGTTAGAGAACAAAGGATGCCTTTTATCCATTTTTTTCAGCAATTGCACTTTTTTGTTATGGACATCGAAACATGCTTCGCTATAATCCTTTGGCAACTCCAGAATCAGAAATTCTTTTGACATAATCGAAAGTTCAAGCTTACTTTTATAAAATTGCTCTTACAGTCTGCAAAAAAATAATAAGACAGATCCAATTAGAAGATTAAGGAACAACGCAATCTGCAACAGTAACTGAAATAGATAATTAGATAATTTTAGCTTAGCTTATACCGTCCGTTATACATTAAATGCGCATGCGTCAACGTATTATGCGCATGTGCAGAAAGTTTGTGGCTTTGAGGGCCGGATTATGGACGTCCAGATTAAAGACTTTTGACTGTATTTAACTTAATAGCACACACATATTTCCAATTAAATCCAAGATTGACAAATACGAATGTTTGTCTTATGATTCTGATTACTTAATCTCAGCACCTGAATTGTATGCATGTGAAGCATAAAAATTTATGTAGTAGAGTTCCAATTCTGCAACATACTTTAAAAATTTAATTTATATAAGAAATTGATAAACAACATTATTGTATTACATGTTTCCTTCAAGATATATAATTGGTATTGCTTTCACTCACAGTTCTCAGAACAGTAACCCTGGCCATTACAAGCCTATTTTTATTCTAACTAGTTTTCCTGTAAAATAACTTGTTGAATCTTATACAACACATATTACCAATTCCTTTAATACGTATCAAAATATATTTCTTTCCTAATGTAAAATTTATAAAATGTATCATGTATTTGTAAAGGCAATTTTCAAATGGCAATTTAATTATTATAAACACAAACCTTTACAATTGCATTGTGATTGCACCACCACCAACAACAACAACAAAAAAAGTAATTCTGTCTATGTTGTGTTATAACAGATTTGCAATGAAACTTTTTTGAGCTTCAGAATGATTAATTGAATAATCCATTTTCAGTAATTCTGTGCAGTAGTGCTTTTACTGAATGTGAAGCTAAATTTTTCATTCTGAGTTTCAGTACTCGTATGGCTATGCTATTTTTTCAAAAAAGGAAATGAAATCATTAGAATTAAAAATTTTCCTCCTTGGTTTCATAACTAAATGAGATGTCTTCCATTTTTTAAGTGTATGATTCACAAGAACATTTGTAAAAATTTCTGAGGGAAAAAAAAAAAAAAAAAAAAAAAAAAGCAGGTTTTATTGCTGCATTGAAAGATGCATAATAATGAAAACAAATGCAAAGCTAAAATAAAGGGGAAAAAAATTATATTACACATGCTATAAATACAAGAGAATATTGTAGGTTACTAATAACTAAATAAAGACAAGGATCAAACATATTTACATTTTTTTGGTTCAGCATCTTCATTTTCTAATTTAGATTGTTCAGAAATATATACATTTATATGTTGAGCAACATCTTTGGCAATAGCTATAGCTAAGTGATAAGGACATTTTCTGAAATAAAAAAATTACATCGATATACAAATACAAAAAATTGCAATGATTAACATACATGAATTTCTATACATAACAATTACAATTTTCATGAAAATGACTATTGAAAGCAGTTAGTTCAGAAACTGGAGATTATAATATATAAAAATTTAAACTATTATATTTTCTACTAATATTTCATAGGCACAAACCTATCCTAGTAATAATACAAGTCAAGGATTTTTTAATTCAGCATGATTGATCATGCTCTTGAAATTAATAATTGACAATTTTATTAAAAATAAGAAGGATTAACTTATCACAGATCATGATAAGGCACAGACATTTTGTAACTCTAGCACATAGTATCTTTGTGGAATAGGAGCACTTAAATTATGCTGATCTGAAACTTCTCTTAAAAGGTTGGTGAGGAAAGAATATATCTTTGGGTTCAATACCTAGTATTATATAGATGAAAACTGGAAGATATTAAAAATAGCAAAAAAAAAAACTGGAATCTACCAAATAATATTGCACCCTGAACGTGCATTTCCGCAATTACTTTTGTAAATTTTAGAGATTTGGTAAGATTTTGAAAATATTAAATTTCTCTGCAAATGGCGAATAAAACCAGAGATTTCAGATTCTCTTTCTTTTCTAGATTCCTTTTAACTTTTTTTTAAATCTTTAATTTCAAAAGTTACACTACATTTATATTTAAATAATTTTACCTATTTTCTCTTAGAATGCTAGCAAAAATATAAAGTAATCATATTCCCCAATCCAAAGCAGAACTTTGAAACTTCAAAAGTTTTCCTGGCCTTTATGCATATGGAGAAAAGTTGTTTTTCAAAGTTTGTATGTTCAGGTCTGGCTCCAAGCATTCATGTAGGGAGCCATATAAGACAATGATTTTTGAAGGGCACCAGGTAAAATGTTCTTATAAGTGACCAGTAAATAAAAGTTTAGTTTGCTTGGATTTGTTAATATGCTTAATTTATAGGAGGCACCAATAGCCTCAGGCTACAAAATTGCTGGAACAGGGTTTTTTTTGTGTGTACATTCCACAGCATATCTTAAGACAATATTTTTCTCTCTAGTGGTAGGTGAAATGATCTCAGGAGTTATGCAGGAGAAAAGATGTAATGGTGGTCACTGATGGATTGACTGAATATAAGAGAAAAGTTAAAGAACTGTCGAAGCAACTGGCATTTCCAATCAAAGTATTATGAAAAAACAAAATTTGAATTAAAAAAGGTATGAATGTTTTGAATTCAGTTTAGGTACCTACTTTACCTGCAGGATCAGTACCTGTTGATAGGAATAGTACCAACAACCGATACACAATAATAGATATATTTCGAGAATCCTTACACAAAAACAGGCAGGTGACTTGTTATTGTTTTTCCACAATAAAATTTTATTTCTGAGAAAAATATTTGGTAACACAACATCTGCATGGACTGAACGCAACTTTCAAAAAATATCTTCCCAAATGTAGAACAGTTGACCACTGGATTACGTTTCTTTTCAGAGTAAAGTATTTCCAGTATGCATCTTTATTAATTTTCTGGGCTGACTTGAAAGAAAAACATCTGAACTATTTAATAAGGCACTTCTGTTACCATTCATAAGCACCGTATCAATGAAGAGGTCTTTCTCATCCTTCACTTACTTAAAAAATAAGCACAGCAACAGATTTTCCACCATAAGTTCGGACTTAAGACTGCATTTTTCATCTTCTAATTTGAATTTTAAATTACCAAGTGCCGAAAAATAATCTCAAAGTTCCCATTAAATATGCTTGATATATATATTAAATGTGCTTAATTACCAATATACATCATTTGTATAACTGGTAAAAATGAAAATGTTTCTGTATTATAATTATTACTATTATTACTGTACTTGTAGATGTTAGTAATTATATACAGGTGTAGGGGACATGGAGAAGTGATGATATATCAAGGGTAAAGTAAGTAAAAGTACATGAGTAAAAAAGAATGCTGAGAAATATTCTGCCGTAGGCCATTATGCTAAAACAAACTTTTTTTAAAACAGCTGCTATTTACTGAAGATAATTCTTGAATATAGAATAAATATATTAAGTACATCATCCAATTAAATGGTAATCTTGATCTAAAATGCCAGTGTTAATCATATCCTCATTGGATATAAATTTCTATTTAAATGTTTAATGTAACATATATTTAATGAAGTACTTAATTACTTACATTATTGCTTTTTTCCAAGTACACATATAACATTTCAAATCAACCTGAAATGCTAATATAAATCCAAGGCCATAAAAATTTTGCGAATTTTTCCTTTTATTCCCAAAATAAAATTACTTTGTCTATGAACAACAGGTGAGCACTCCTTGACAGCATCATGATTATTTTTAAGGATGCCAGTACACAGCTAAATGATTGCACATTTCTAATTTTTACATCAGCTTATGTCCTTATGATCAGTGAGACATAATTTGTTGTTAATGTATAAAAAAGTGACAATTGTTCACCCTGAAAAACAACAATAATTAGAACTCTTTTCAGTTTCAGAATTTTGTACAAAAGAAACCTAAAAAATATAAAAGGCTCTACCAGTGGTTGAACGGACAAGATTACTGAATGCTAATAGCTCGAAACCAGGTGAATAAGCTAACTGCATGGATGGTTTTTTCCTAAGCACAATAAAGCTTAATCAGGTCGATATTTTTTAACATTTGATTATTTATTTCTCTTAGAATGTGAATTTACATATATAGTCCATATTTTAGTAAAAAACAAACGTCATATATTTCAATCAATATTATGGATAACAGTTTGAAATTTTGGAGCGTGAAAATGGAACTTAGCACTATTTCATGTATACTTTAAGTCTCCCATTCTGAATCAGTTCATAATACTTTTGAATTGTAACCAAAACAAAGGACCCAAATTAAACAATAATAATGTACTTGTTCACTGTTGAATTTAATCGTAAGAGCAAAGTTTATTAACTCCACCAGAAAAATTAATGAACTAATAAATTGAATAAGATCATAAAATAAACAATCGGATTTTTTCTACTGCCCTACTGAGCGGTAGTTCAGCAAGACCATTCATAATCCAGAAGAAACACAGATAAGCTAAGCTCATTCACTCATTCCTCACTAAACAACAGAACAACTGCTGTACATTCTGCCAAAAAAAAAAAAAAAAAAAAAAAGGAGGGGGAAAGAAGAGAGAGAAAGGTTAATACTCCGTTCTACTTGCCGATTGACGAAATTTAATTTGCGTTTTTCATGTCTCGAAAGCGCGATTTAGAATATATACTAGATTTACATATAGCAATGCTCTAATATACGTACTTTGACATAAAATCGGACCTTTTTCTGAATCACATAAGATTATGCCTTAATATTAAATTATGTAAAATTTGTTGAGAAACTTCCCGAGAAATTTAAAAATTTATTTTGCCCTACTTTCTTCAGATTGCGCTAAGAATTTTTTACTTGGTGAAATTCTTAATTTATGGTAACTTATTTTCCTTTCATCGTGCACCAACGAAGAAAAAAGGTGCATCGTTCATTCTTTCAAATAATTTCAACAAAGTGCGTAATCATCGCTAATTTGGAGTTATCATTCATTGTTTATAGCAAACATGCTATATTTTAAAGACTCAGGTGTTAGAAAACACTTGTCCGCAGGCACCCGGGTTGTAAAAACCCATCCTGTGTTGAACTCGTGCGAAAATGGCATATCTTTTTCTACCCTAACGTTACAAAGCTGCGTAATTGAGAAATAAATCTCGTGAAGGTGCAAGTTACGAGTCTTCAGATACGTCCGACGTTGAGTTAGTTCGGTAAATGTCCGTTTTTTTTTTTTTTTTTTTTTTTTTTTTTTTTATAGATATATCTATATAACTCCAAGCCGAGATTCGAACTCGCTATCTCTGAGATGAAAGACCTTAACGTTACCACACGGCTACCCGCTGGTCTGCTATATTTTAATACGCACTAATACATAAATTCACGTATATCTTGGTAAGTCTTGAATAAAACTATTTTTTTGCGGTATCCTTGAATAATCACTTTAAGGTGATGGTAAAAATTTTATATGTTACAATTTAAGAATTTTTTCAAAAAACTTCTAAAAATTACAAATTTAAAAAAATCAGAAATTACCTGAAAATTCTATTTGGATTGAATCTAGATTTCAATTTATGAAAGAATAAAGAATAAAGCAATTTTAGCCCAAAAAAAAAGCCAAAAAATATTATTAATAAATATATATCAAATTCGTTTAACACAGGAGCTAGCTAAAATTTCGAGAGCTTAATTTTTTAAAAACTACTCGTGCGATTTTTAAGAAGCTTTGGCGTAATTTGAGTCGTAAAATCGAAAGATGGAAAAAAATCGGTATGCGATTTCAGAAAAAGTCAGGTTTTGTGTCAAAATATCTTTATTAGAACACTGCTATATATAAATTGGTACTATTCCGTTTTGAGGACCGTAAAAAAATTGCAGATAAAATGTATGCGCAAAAGCGCCAAATCTAGAAAACCCGCCCATTTAACAGCGCGCCAAATCTAGCGTACGCGCTAATTTCAGATTGCATAAGTTTATATAGTTCTATATTTCTTAAGATGCCGTTGAAATACTAGTTTAATTTTTAAATCCTTGTTTGATATCCTATGGATTTAACAATTTGGAGATTGCCCATGGCGCAATCGAATTTGGGTAAAGTGCAGAATCACCCACTGCTTGACGCGTTTTAAAGAATTGCACATACTCGATATCCATGTATAACATCGACCTATTTTCACTTAAAAAAAAATCCCCGAATTGCACAAAAATGGCACTGCGCAAAACCTTGACTTTATTTATGTACACATCGACCTATTTTCACTTAAAAAGCAAAAGAAAATTGACAAAAATCCAATTGTTTTTACCCTTGTAAGAAGCGGCAAACAAATAAGTGAGCGATTCTGCCTTCACACCGAGAATTTTTTCAAGAAAAGGCATCATTCATTAT